GTAGTAATCACAAGTTGTATTTATTGTTGGTACAGAATAGAATCGATGGTAGATATGATTTCTATGTCCTTTTGCATAAAAGCAATTCCAAAAAATATGCTTTTGGCATAAAATTGGTCTCCAAAATTCATTTGTGCAACCTGAATCTAATGTGTATACTCCTGAATATTTTACATTCAGATCTGGGGTAAAAATTATAGGCTTATGACTACTTTTCAAGTGTTCCAGTAGATCCTTGACACGCCCACTCCACTCACACGACCCCACTCTACATTCAGTTGGGCGATATTCACAGTAGGTCTGATGCAACTGATCCATGATCACTGAGTCACAGCCCTCCTCAGCATAGGGGCAAAGCTTAGGAATCAAATCTAGTAATTGATTCAACAAGGTGTTCTGATGAAGTGCCAGGGCTAACTCTTGTTCACAAGTTGGACATCTTTTAATCTTGGTAGCGCATGGTCTGCATACTCCATGCCCATTCATGCATTGTCTTAATGTAGAGTCCATATTCTCAAAGCACACTGGACATTCCAGAACTTCTTGCAACTCAAGCGCTAGCTGCTTGAGTTGCTTTTGCAATTCTTCCTGCAAAAAATGAATCTTTTATCAAATGTGCATATTTTGCAATTTGTCCATTCAACAATATTGTTCCAGGGTTTATTTTAGGTGAGTTTTCTCCCACCAAGGGCTGCCACAGACAGGTGACATCTTCAAGAGTTTCACACCACATCTGACGGAAATGAAATTAAAACCCCCAATCTATGGTGATCTAATTTATAAAAATCCCCCCCCCCCCCCCGCTGCAGCAAACCTGCAGACTAAGCAAATTTCCATTTGCCTGACTTGATATACAAGTAAATCTATTAGGTTAAACTAGTACCTAGGTTTGCTGCTACAGGGAGGCTAATAAAAAGTGATTTTTAGTCAAATATTAATAGCTGAGTATGAAATAAGTAAATTTTCTATGTTTGATCAAAATATATCCATAAACAAGGAAACTACAACATTTTACAATATTCTCCATAAAAATAATATGGGATTTTAAATTGAAAATTGTTTAAATTTTCTCTGTAACCAATTAACACCCAAAAACACTTCAATATACTAAATTATTTTTTTTTTAAGCACTTTAAAATGGTCTAGAGAGAAATTGGGAAATGTTGTGTTTTGATGGTCAAAAATGAGAAAAACCCATATTTACCCCATGAAACCCTGTTCCCATTGTCCGATCATGCTGGTTCAGGAACTCATTCAAGTTTATCCCGCCTTACACCTTCAAACCAAATTTCATAAAAATCTAACAAAATTTACTCAAGTTGTCGCGTTTATGGACACATGTATAAAAATTTGACCTACGGTAAAATCTACTTCCCTATAGGGAAATTTTCCAAAACGAGGGGACCCATACAAAAATTAAACATTTTAATGCTTGCAATTATAAAATACCCCTGCCGCAGCAAACCTGCAGACTAAGCGAATTTCCATTTGACTGATTTGATTTGTTACACTGAAATGTCTACTTACAAATATAACATTTATTCCCGATTTAAATAGAACTAGTGATCGCCCTGTGGTCGAAACTCGACCAAAAATAATTAATGTACAGACTTCTCTATTTTCTCCCCACACTGTAAATAAAACATGTGATTGGAATTTCTTTGTTTTGATTTTCTGTTTACATTTTGTTGTTATTTCGTCACCATCATGGCAACCCATATGGTCCATGTTAATTTTTTGAAGTTTTCAAATTAATTTTTTGTGCTTATTTGTTAGCCTATTTTAACTTTTAAAGGCATTCTGCACATCTACAGGAAAATATCTTTCCAACAGTATGCGTAGATTTTCCCTGCGATGCACACGAGCTGAAAAAAAAGGTTTTAAAGAAACATGCTTGCCTATTAATATATAGACGAGAGGTCGTCCAGTGGTCGAAACTCGACCAAAAATACGTAATGTACTCACTTATCTATTTTCACCCCACACTGTAAATAAAACATGTGATTTGAGTTTCTTCCATTTTGTTTTGGTTTTCTGTTTATATTTCGTTGTTATTTTCGTTACCAGCATGGCAACGCATAAGATCCATGTTAATATTTTCAAATTTTTAAACTCATTTTTTGTGCTTATCTTTGAGCCTATTTAAATTTATAAAGGGATTCTGCACACCTACAGGAAAATAGTTTTCTAACGGTATGCGTAGATTTTCCCTACGATGAACACGAGCTGAGAAAAAAGGTTTTAAAGAAACATGCTTGCCTATTAATATATAGATAGATAGATTAGATTAACAAGTACTTAGGATTGCTGCATCAGGGAGGGTAAAAATGTTTTTTTTTTGTAAAATGTTAATAGTTAGTAAGAAATAAAAACATTTTCCAAATTTGATCAAAATATGTTCATAAACAAGCATACTACAACAGTTTACTTATTCTCCATAAGAATAACATGGGAATTTTCAATTTACAATTTTTTGGAATTTTCTCCGTAACTATTAGGCGCATAATAACGCTTCAAAATACTAAATTATTTGTTTTTTTAAGCTCTACAAAATGGTTTGGAAAGAAATTGCTAAATTTTATGTTTTTTGGGTCAAAAATGGGAAAAACCTATTTTTACCCCATAAAACCCCCCGTAAACCCCCGTTCCCATGGTCCGATCATGCTGGATCGCGAACTCGTTCGAATAAACGTAGGTTTACACGTTTATACCAAATTTCATCAAAATCGGATCATTTTTGCTCGAGTTATCGTGCTAACGGACACACACATATATATATATAAATATATATATAAATATATATATAAATATATATATAAATATATATATAAATATATATAAATATATATATAAATATATATATAAATATATATATAAATATATATATATATGTGAATTTGAACGGATGGTGTTTTTGGCCTCTAGGGACCTCAAAACGAAAAAAAAAATCGGTCCCGCGTCCAGGTCTTACCATGAGTACTACGGTAATAGCTTATTCCCTATATGGGAAATTCGCTAAAAGATGCCTGTATCTTGTTTACAATCTGTCTGTGGTAAAACATTCAACTGAATAATCAGCTGTTTGATTACACAATTCATATTTTAACCGTTATAAGTAAAGTTATTCAGCAACAATGGATATTTGAAAGTAAACTGACCTTAGCAAAATAACATTTTTTCCTTATCACTCGCAGGTGCGCTGAATCATAGTCTTTAACACCTAAATCGTGAAAATCGGTTTTTTAAGTAGAACAGCTGAATGAGGGATGTTACAGAGAAAACCCCTCATTGTATTTTGTATATACACGTAGATGGTTTAAGGATGAATGAACATTTTACCAGTTTTGAAAAGAGTCACAATTTGTATTAAAGTACATTTTTATCAATACCTTTTTTTACCATATAACTGTCCTCTATTGCTTATGACAAAATTACACTTACCATTTCAGCAACAGGGTGGATTTAAATGTCCTTAACAGATCTAAAACATTTCAGTGATTTTTAAAACTTTTTAAATTGGTATGTATTTTTATATATAGGAAAGCAATGAAATCCAGGCATAAAACTAAGTGCAGGACTCTTGTAATCTTTTATCGCCCATCTTAACCTTACCAGGTATCTTATCTCAACAAGTTCTTATCAATTACTAAATTCCCAATGCTCAAACAGTTTAGATGAGCGTAGGACTGATAGATATTTTAACAATTAATTTATATCATACTACTATATCATACAAAAGTATTTATATCATACTTTCGTACTTTCTTTAACTACAGTAAAACCCTATTTTCCTAATATTACTAAATGTTGATAAATTTGTTGAAATGTGTCTTGCAACCCTAATATTTCTCCAACAAGGAACTTAAGTTATAGTAGTTTGTTATTTAATTTTTTGTTCCATAATATTTTTTTTCATGAGGGATCCCGCTTTTAGATTTGGGTACCTTCAAATAGGTACCACTGCTAATTACACAATATTGTAAACAACAGAATATAAACATTGATAACAACTTTGTATAACCTCAAATTATGTGGTTTAATTTTGTAACGATTGTAAGGTTATTTCCACAGTACAGTAGAGTCCCGTTAGTCCGAAATGGTTGGGACCGGGCCCATTTCGGATTACCGAATATTTCGGATTAAACGTTTTTTTGTTTTTTTTAATTAAAAAAAATTTTTTTTTTGAAATTTTTTTAATTTTTTGAAATTTTTTTGTCTTATTCTTACTACTTTTTTTCGGACGCAGGCACGAGCCCGGGATTGTTTTTCACATTACTTAAGGCTAGACCTATTGGCTGCAGCATTATCACTTAGTAAAATCCATTTGTGATTTGGCAGACGAAAATGTAAAATGTTACGGTAATAACAAAAATGGTGAAATATTAATTTACTAAAATACTCTACAAAAAAGTCTATCTCGCCCAGCCGCTACAGAATACTTTGACGAGGTACAGCTAACTGTTTCAAAAGTTTAATAAAAAAATTCTAAAACTTTCCAAAAAACTTCAAAAAATTTCAAAAAAAATTGTAAAAATTTCGAAAAAAAATCCAAAAAATTTCAAAAAAAATTCAAAAAATTTCAAAAAAAATTCAAAAAATTTTCAAAAATTTTTTTTTTAATTAAAAAATATATTTTATGGTTTCGGATTAAGCGGACTTTCGGATTACCGAAGTTCGGATTATCGGGACTCCACTGTATGATGAAAATAGTTGTTCATCACACGGAGCGAAAGTGTCTTTTTGGTACTTAATCGTATTTCCAAGCTCTGCTGCGCCTTGCTTTTAAAACACGGTTGGGTACCAAAAATAACTACTTTTGCTCCTTGTGATGAAAACTACTGTTATCTTCAGAAATGGAGCTTTGGCATCTAGTACACATTCTAAAGTATTGAGACTCAAACCTATGTTAGTTTTATTTAATTTGTTGTATTCAACCTTCAGATTAACCCGCAAATGCTAGTGGCTAATTTTTCAATGACTAAGTTTTAAAGTGTCTCTAGTTCCTGACGCCAGAAGAGCGCAAACAGCTGATGGCTCAAGTGAAAGCCGAGAAGGAACAGAAGGAAATGGAGAGTGCATTGCGCAAGAAGGAACTACAGGATTGTGAGCAAAGTGTAGAGTATGGATCAAGACTCACTGAGGTAGGATATACCCACTTGATCCTAGCTTAGAACGTTGACAGATTTTCCGGATTTCTACTAGGTTACTTACCATTTCATTATTCTTTTCAAATTGTAAATTAAACCATAGCATTTTGATTACTGAAGCAATCATCCCCTCTATGATTACCGGCTGTAGACAATCTTTATCCAGATAGAACGTGGGTAAATAAGCCGCTCACAAAATGTACTACAGTCAACACAAAATTGTCTGTTGATTTTCTCCTTATGCCTTGACATTATGATATTTTATGTGGCATGAGGATACTATATAGCTTACAATAAATTGTTCCTAAAAATTTGGATGGTTAAAAAGTGTGCGTCCTTCCAACAGAAATCAGAGATCATCATCAGCGCAATCTGAAAGTGTCAATTTATATTCAGTAGCTGACAGCTACCTACTTTAACATTAGGATGGAATGTCTAAACACAGTAGGTTCAAGGAATACCATGAAAACACTCAAGGTTAATTTTGAATGAGGTCCAAGTGGAATTACTTAACCTGTAAAGAATCATTTGTAGATTAAATTTTAATGTGTGTGGAAACAGGTGTGTACATTGTGCCCAACGAAAACTGTTACAGATTGAAACTGGTCTTTTTTAGGACCAAAGCTGTGTCAGCAAGTAGTAATTCATAACGGTTTGCCATAAACAGATTTTTACACCCACTCTCCTCCAGCTGATAATCTTGTTTGCTAGGTGGAGGAGGAGGCAGCACGCAAGGCCCAGCATCTGCTGGCGAGAGCTCACGAGCTGCGACAGGAACAGGAGGACGAGGTCAAGAGATGCAACGCGTTGATACTCGCCACAAAATGTCATGCGATCCGTGATGCCCAGGTGGCCGAGAAGAAACTTATTGAGTGAGTATAACACTATAAAGTTGGGTAATGAATGGAAGAAACAAAATTAAGTAAACTATGGCTGCAGGTACTTAATAAAAATTATTAAAGCAAACACAATTCAATTGCTGGGTGTCTATATCTTCAGGATATCTACAATCTCCTATTAAAATTAATAGTTCAGTTGGGTTTAGGATATCCAGAATCCACAGAGATTTATTTAATGTATCCCCCCGATTTTTGCAAACTTTAATAGCTTAAATGTTTTCCTTAGGAAGAAACTAATTGTCTTAACTAAGAAAATATTTGCATGCTGTTCTGAGTATTTTTTGTTGAGATTTAGTCAAAAATAAATTAGGCTAAAAGTAGTTGAGAGTTAGCTGTTTACTATAAATTGTGTTTGTAAAGTCAATGAACCGATGTTTTTGTCAGCTCACAAGGGTGTGTCTTGTAGTAACAAATAAATATTCCATGATACATTTCTGAGACACAGTTGAAAGTAATAAAATTTTCAGCAGTTAGATAAATTAATGATGCATAGTTTACTCATAATAAAAAATCTGGGGTTAAAAAATGAAAATTGTAACTATATAACATTTTAACAAGACATTGAAATGATATTCACTACAGCTATCCTTTCATAGGCTTGCCTCACTAGACACCCTTCGTATCTATGGATTTTAATATCTATGGATGTTAATTGTTAATGCACTGCCTAATGGCAATGGATACACAAACTATAAAGAAGAACAGGTCCTATGGACAATATTCTAACAGTATTTTTAAATTTAGCGTGCGAAATATCTGTAGTTCTGCACTGAACCACCATCCAGCGCTGGCGTCAAGTTTAGCATGCGGTGAAGTGCAAGAGAGACACCAGCGCTGAATGGTGGTTCAGTGCAGAACTACAGATATTTCGTGTGCCAAATTTGAAAATACTGTTTGAATATTGTCCATAGGACCTGTTCTTCTTTATAGTTTGTGTATTCATTGCTAATGGTATGAAGTTGATTGGGACTTCTGCAAATTTGAAAAATAAGTACAAAATAGCTTAAGATAGAAGGTGTTATAAATTTAAGGATTTAAAAAAATCAAAATTAGGATCATTTTATTGCCACAAATCAAAAATACAAAGAATGATGTGTTTGTATGATTTCTTAGCATATTTTTTTGTTTTTAAATTTCATACGACTAGTTCATTGGTTTCTTAGCTCTGCTGGTCAGGTTCTGTATACGAAAATATATGATTGACTATTGGCTATTTTACACATCGTACTAACAAAAGTGTTCTTGTAAATTTAGTGGTAATTTCACCAAAAACTCCCAAAACATCCGAGGTTTGTATGACAGGTACTGAGGACTTTGATGATACTTTGTTAATTTATTTGTGTACTTCATACTTGGTTAGAACTTCTTGTTGATAGCTTGTTACACCCTAAGGTCCAGGCTACGGCCTAGGTTATCAGATTTTTTTGCATTTGGAAAAACCACCCTTTTACTTTGAGAACAAATCAATAATCTTTTTTGTGGCAGGAAGGAATTAGCGGAGGAAGAGAAGCGGTTGGAAGAGATGATGGAACGAGAGAGACAAGAGGCTTTGCGAGCTCAGGAGAGGCAGAAGGAGTTGCAGAAGATGAAGAAACAACAGTACGTGAAGACTGTGCTGGAACAGATACAGGAGAATGAGTTGCAACGGGAGATGCAAGCAGAGCGGATAGAAGAGGTAAAGTAACCTCTTCCTCATCACAGTTAACGTGTTTCAGGATTTGGAACCTGGAACTCAGTCCTTTTCATGGGACCTGAAAGTAACTGAATCGTAACAAGATCAGTAGGCTACACAAATTTAGCCAAAGGTAAAAATCCAGAAAAGTAAAACCACACAGAGAAAAAGTAGTAAAAACAAGAGATAACATTCTGGAAGAAACAAAGGTTTAGTTGGAACAGAGGATAGGCAAAAACAATCCACTCCTTTGATGTATGACACCAGAGTCCCTTACTTCATAGATAGTTATAGTTGTCCGAATCTCACTTGAACCACCATCTTGTGCAGACTTGTCCATTGTGCTCGTCTACCCTTTACTTGAACCAATTGTTTATTTCATTTCAAAATCTCGTTCTTGATTTGACTACCGGTACTAAATTCTCTGTGGTTTTGGGGAGTTGCTCTTGTGATTTTTTTAGCTTTAAAAGAGCTTGTGTACCAATTTATTTATGTCTGAGGAGTTTTTTCATCTACTTTTTTCACATGGATCTAAAACATGAATAGGCCTTTTTTTCTGATTGTGAAATACCACCAATAATCCCTCAAATAACATAACTTACTCCCCCAATAGAATGAAACTGAAAAAATATAGATTTTAATCCAATTTGTAAATCAAGTAAGGACAATTCTTTGCTGTCCCTTATGGGAAAATCCCAATAAAGGTCAGAAGACAGGTTGGTTCAGTTTTACTTTTGAGCTCCTTACCTTACACTTTGTTGAATTGTCTCTTGTAGTTGAACTGAACCACTGACAGAGTGTGTTGATATCAATTACTGACTTCTGTAAAACACGCCAAATTTAAACTAAGCTAAGCTAAAAGACAACTTTTATAAACTATAGCTTTTTCCTACAGTTACCTAACAATGTACATGTTCTCTCACTGATTTGAGAAAGCAAAGTGGCCAATTCGCTCATCAGTGAGACAATGTTAACATTGTCTCACTCTAATTACTTTGTCTCACTCACTCCAGATTTGCAACGTGAAGGCACGAAATAGTGAGCGTGTAACATGCAGACAAGGTCGTATGCGCGCGAAATACATACATTGGCAGCACTGGCTGTAAATCAGCTGGTCAGCTGTTGTACTGTTATATCATTAAATGCCATATTAAAAGTTCACTTCTGTGCAAAAATATGTTACATTTCTTTACCAATTTATTTGTTTTATGGTAACTGTAGGAAAAATATAATGTGCAACTCGAGTGCAAAGTGCAATTGCCTCACTCAAGAAACCATTCCTCACACGCCTACGGCTTGTGAGTAAGTATTTCTCTCGAGTGAGTCAATTGCTCACTTTGCTCACTAGTTGCACAAATAACTATTTAAGTTACTTCAACTCTCCCAGTGAGAAAAAAACTAAGGTGGATGTCTACTTAGGATCAGAAAACCAATGGCGACTGTCAACAGATTACTCTTATCCTGTAACTGGACTTCATGTAAATTGTATTAGAATGTTGTATGTTGTATATTGTCTTCAGGAGAGCAGACTGGCCAATGAGGCAGCCATGCAGGTGCAGCTAGACGAGCTGAAGGTGTTGAGAGAGAAGTTGGCAGCTCAGGCGCGACAGAGAGAGGAGATGAACAAGATCAACCAGCAGCTGCACCACTACGCCTGTCTGGAGAAGGAGGAGGGCCGTCTGGCAGACCTCAAGGTTGTCTCAATGTCACAATGGTTTGATCCATGATTTTTTTCATCAAGGGGAGAAGTATTTTAGGTATTGACAGAAACTTTGATCATTCTGTGTAAAACATGGTAAAAGATACAAGTGGTGGTCTGGGATGCACCTGGATATCCCCAACCTCTTAATATTTCAGTTGGCTCCCGGAAATCTGCACAGTTTCATGATTTATCCCTGATTTTTAAAACATACTGTAAATGTAGTGATGAAATACCATGAGCCACAGGATATTTGTTTTTGTTTACTCAATGGGAAAGGGGTTTTTCTTAGGAGTTGAAAGGTTCGAGTGTGACAAGTGTGTTGGAGTTGTGTTGTTAAATAATTGAAATTTTCTGTGAACCGTGGTGTGCAGAGTCAACCAAACTACATCTTTTGACAGCAAACAACGCAGACAACAGGCAATTGGAATTGTATTTCCTGAAGTACCTAACAATAAATATTTGTTCCTTTACTGTGAACTAAGTTAACGTCACCAAATATGTTAGCTTAATTGAGTAAATTATAAGACGTTTGCTTTCCAGCCCACAACTTCTCTTCTTACAAAGAAAGCCATTTCATAGTTTCGGTTAAAAATAAAAATTGTACAAACATTTTGTTTCTGTTTACTTACTGATTATGAGTTGTATAAGTGATCCTCTTTTTGAAAAAGGGAATGCTTACTTTGTTCCAGTTATTGTCTTTTGGGTATTGTAAATGGGCTTTTAAAGTAGGTTTACAGAAACTTGTGTTGAGAATGATAATTGCAAACACACACTCTTCAATGTAGGCTAATATGAGTGTTAACATCATTGTGTTTTGACTGGCAGGTACAAGAGTACATGCGGCGCAAAGCTGAGGTAGAACGAGCGCGCGAGCAGGAACATGCTCTACAGCGTCTAGAGAAGGAGAAGGAACTAGCACGACTACGAGCCATGCAGAAACGAGCAGCCGACACTCAAGCTGCCAAGGACGAGATGAATGCCATGCGGATACAAGACGAGGTATGACTCTTGTAAATCTAGGTGTGCGTGTCAAGTACCCTCAATTCCTCCTTAAACGTGCAGTACAGGTCTTTTGAGAGTCACATTAACATTACCAGAAACATTATTTTTATTGTAACGGAGATTGTGCAAATTGTCCTGCCAATTCTTGTGAATGCACCTGAATACATTGTTTGTTAAAATAATTTTAAAAGACCAGCAAAACCTTGTGTCTGCAGCAAAAACAACTGTTTTCAATTATCAATACATGCGTTGCAGGTCTAAAGTAGCTCCTTTTCTCCCTTGGGTATAAAAATCAGTTGGTGTCGATGACATCGGCAGTACATTTTTCTCACTTTTTAACTTCGATTGTAAGCAATCGGCTGTATCGAAATTACTGGTTGTACGGACTGTTTCCAACACAATTTGTTTACACTGAATCTAAGAAGATGGATGACTCAAGGAAACAGTTTGCACTGAAAGCCCAGACAATTCAAGATAACCATTGACATAATATAAGTATTTTGACATATCAATATCTATTGGTAGTATTATGAATGCCAACACAATCGTAATTGACAAAATTATTCAATACCTTACCAAACATCTATATGTACACAATAGAAAAATTGAAAACCAGATGGAAATTATTTTGGGAGCTTATCTTTAACTGAAAATCTTTTCCGTTTTTAGCTTAGTTTGCTTAAATATTGGTGCAATATGGTGAAAAATAAAATATAGTTCATCACATGGGCAAAAGTGTGTTTTCATCCATGACAATAACAAGTATTTTACCAGTTTACATTATTTATTTAAGTTAAAATTAAGACCCCTGTGTAATTTAAATTGTAATTCAATGTACCTACATTAAAAATCGACCGTATTCATAATTTGGATCTTTGTGTTCATAATTTAAATAAGGAAAAATCATATTGAAATAAGCATTATCAATTTACTGAGTAATCTATGGTGTTCTAAGGATTAAAACTAGCATGGATTGAAACAAACTTTGAACTCAAAGTTTAAAAATACATTCCAGGTAGAAAGAGCGTGGAGAAAAAAAGAAAGAGAAGCTGCGATGGCTCGAGCTCGGAAAGCAGAAGAATTGAGGATAGCGCGCGAGCAACAGATCTTGGACAGACGCAAGTGTCAGGCGATAGAGATTCAGAGAGAGAAAGAAGAGATGGAGAGGATTGCTCGGGTGAATAGAGAAGAACAAGAGAAACAGAAACTGGAGGAGCAGAGGCGTCTGTGTGTGAGTACCTTGGGTCTGGACAAGCAGGGCTACCTTTGATCTACTGGTGTGGTTATTACCTATATAGCTGTAAACTTTACCAACACAATAGGAAAGAACTTTATATTCAGTCAATTACGAGCTCTTAACAAAAGTGACCACAATTTGTAGAGCACAAATAAGCAATGAATACTATAAGAGGACTATTTGTAGAGTTTTGTTACAACCCACTGTAGTGCAGAGGGGGGGGGGTGTTTTCTAAACAAGTCTTAGCCTCAAGAATCCGTGGTCGTTTTCAGCGTCAACCACCATGGATTCTTCGACACTGGTTGTCAATGCCTCGGTGTGAAGTATCAGTCTCCTTATTTTAGTCCCGCATACCCACCACATTTTATTTAATTTATAAACATGTTCTTTGCTTTAATAAATTCTCTGGACTTCTATTTTACTTTGGGTGGGGGTGGGGGGTTCTATACATCCTGGAAGGGCTGATGGAGAGACTAACAAAATTTCTTCCCAAGCTGTCTCAAGGGACAGGTGTGTTTGAGAATGATAATTTGTGTTCAGGTTTTGTTGTGTCACATACATAAGGACTGTTATTCATTTTTTTAGTTTTAAGTTAAACACATTATTTCTGATGTTGGCACCCGATTGGGTCTCAAGTGATTTTTTTAATGGTGGGCAAGTACACAAAAGGGTTCACACAGTAATTTAGTAATATGTGCTGTGACTGATGACCAAGAAGAATAATTGGATATTTTATTGTTTTAATATGTTTTCATTTTGGGCTAAACACATATGGAAGGCCAATGGAAATTTGTACATGATTGCAGCTATTTACGCAAAAAATAATAATGTAAACATTGTAATTGTATTTTATATGACAAAAAATGAAACTTTAAAAGTTTTATGAAAAATAATACTTTACTGTTGCATTTCATCAAACAGAAGGCTATTATCATTATGCAAAATATGTTTTTATCAACTTTGCTTATGTCCAGCCATTACTGTGCTTCTTATTAAAAAGAAATTCTGGAAGTGAATTGTACCCCATCAAAACACTCTGACAAAAATGTTACAATAAAAAAATAGGGCTAAATAAAAAATGTTTTTGTTAAGTCCTACAATATAATGTACCCTTCATCAAAGTAAAATTTTAAAATACTAAAGTACATCATCATTATCATTATAATATAGAAATATAAAAAAAATTAGCACATGGGCTTCTGCCTTTTTTGTTGGGTACAGTTTTCGGTCATTAAAATTGGCAGTACTGTACTAAGTATGAAAATCGACGAAAGTATATTATTTGTTTTATACTGTTTATATGGTACAAAAATGATACTTTATTGCACTAAAATTTACAGATGTTAGAGAGCCATAGAATGGAACTACTTAAGCAAATTGGCGAAAAAGAAAAACAGAAAATAAAAGCAAGACAGCAACAATTTGAGGAAGGATTAGCAGTGAAAGTGGAAAAACAGAAGAGAGAAGATACACTAAAAGAAACAATGGCAAAGAAGATGAACATGATCAGGTAAACAATATATTAAATTGCAAAACTTAATGTGACTGATGTTGTAGATCTTGATTTATAAATAGAGATTCGTTTGATCCTGTGCAGACTGCGGGGTTAGTTTTGTGATTAATATTGGCAACACTGCTTCACAGCTGATGCTTACTCAATACTATTCTCACTCCCACTAACTTTACCTTGGTCCAATTGTAGCTCAGCTTCAGAAAAGTTCAGAACATTTTATTTATATATATGGTATCCCACGAAGAGGTTGCTATCTTACTCATAAACAGTGTGACGAACGAAAAGCTGCAACAAATAAATATGTAAAAATCACCTTGGAGCCCCATTTGATCCTCACCAATCAGACAAAGTTCCGGAAAATAAAAATAACAGTTTGTTTTATTTTATTAAAGTAGTTTTATTTGCAAAACTATTGCAAACTAATTCTTGATTTTCTTACGATGTTACTTAAGTTAACAACATTGAAATAATTAAAGAAATAGGATAGTGGTACCTAATTCATATTAATGTTTCATATTAATTAATTAATTAATTTGATTCATAACCCAGGATTCAAACTGATAATGATAAATCGCTTATTACTTTTTAAATCAAGGGAGCAAACCTTTCATGCTAATTTTTTCGCTATTTTGTTGCTCCGCCATTTTGTCTATACTAATCAGAATCAAATGAGACAGGGGGTATTTTTTAATAGGATAGGATTAAAATCAAAGAAGCAGAGCAAATAAGGACTACAAGTATGGCAGGAACATTTCAAAGATCTTTTGAATGTAAGACAGTCTGAACAAGAAGAAGAAGAGGAGGAAGCGTACCAGAATGTAGATCCAATGGTACCATACCCAACAATTCAAGAAGTAGAAGCGTCAATCAAGGAATTAAAAAATAATAAAGCCCCAGGGGAGGACTCTATTCCATCGGAAGTAATCAAAGCAGGAGGCACAGAACTGGCAAGGGAGATCCACAAACTGATCATTGATATTTGGGACAACGAATTGATTCCGAATGAGTGGAAGGAAGCAGTTATCATTCCCATTCACAAGAAAGGAGACAAAAAAAGAATGCACCAATTACAGAGTAATTTCCCTCCTCAACTGCACCTATAAAGTACTATCAAAGATTTTACAAAAAAGACTAGAGGAATATACATCAAATATCATAGGAGACCATCAAGCCGGCTTCACAAGAGGAAGATCAACCACGGACCAAATTTTTATACTGAAAGAGGCAATCGCCAAATATTATGATATATTCAACAAATCCTTTCTCTGCCTTTTCATTGACTTCTCCAAAGTGTACAACTCGACCACTAGGAAAAAACTCTGGAAAGTAATGGAAAAGTATGGAATACCTAAAAAGTTAATAAATCTATCAAAGTCAACTGTATCAGGATCTAAATGCAAGGTTAAAGTCAATGGAGAATTCTCAGAGGATTTTTATATAAATACTAGTGTGAGACAAGGAGATGGTTTGTCCCCGCTGTTATTCAACCTAGCTCTGGAAGACTCTCTACAAGAATTACAAAAGCTAGAAGCTGGAATTACTATGGGAACCAATATAAATATCCTGGCATTTGCAGATGATGTGGCACTTGTGGCCAAAAACGAAGAAGACCTAAAAGTTATGGCCTCAAAACTCATAAACCACACTAAAAAAGTTGGCTTAAATATCAATGTAGACAAAACCAAGATAATGGAATGAGGAAGAGCTACCCAATTAAATAATAAAAATCATGTAGAAATAGAAGGACACAAATTTTATAAAGTAAACAATTTCTCTTACCTAGGATTAATGCTGACGAATAATAATGAAGAAGACTCTGAAATTCAGCAAAGATTAAATGCAGCTCATAAAAGTTTATCGGCATGCCACAAATTGTTGAGTTCTCGCCTACTCTCACAGAAAACTAAAATCCGTATATACAAAACTATAATAAGACCAGTATTACTATATGGCTCAGAGAATTGGGTGATAAGCAAGAGAACTGAGAAACGACTTATAGTGTTCAAAAAAAAGATTCTAAGGAAAATCTTTGGACCAACCTTTGAAAATGGAGAATGGAGAGTTAAGCACAACAGGGAGTTGAGAGAGTTGTACAGGGACCCAGATATTGTGGCTGAGGTGAGAAGTAAGAGATTGAGATGGGCAGGCCATGTGTTAAGAAAGGAAGAGGGATCCTTAGTGAGAAACGCCCTAAACAACAATCCCGAGGGTAGAAGACCTCCTGGAAGGCCCAAGTTGAGGTGGAGAGATCAAGTGAGAAGAGACCTGAGAAGAATGGGAAGAAGGGAGGATGAAACAGTGGATCGTGCAGTCTGGAGGCAGTGTGTTGGCGAGGCAAAGTACCTCCTTGGGTACCAAGAGCCACGGCAGTAAGTAAGTAAGGATTAAAATCCTAAAACCAAATTATAAATGATCAAATAAAAAAATTATCTTTAATGAATATTGTACATAGTACTGTACATGTTCCAACATTTTTTGAAAATACATAATGGTTTAGTAAGCTTTTTATCCACTAGAATGTATTCAAGATATTAAATTGATATTATATGCTATAACTAGTTGAAACAGCAAAACTTGTAATGTGTTTCAGGTCTCACAATGTTCCGGAGAAGTATGTGAGAGAAGTGGAAAGACAACTTCAACTCATTTAAATTACAGTGATCGTCAATTACGCAAAACTCTTCTTCACAAACTCACCTACAACTTATGAAGCAATTTGAAATCTGTTGGCACCATATCCATATGTGTGTGTTTTGTGTGTATGGGTGATAAGTCTCTAGTCAATCGGAGGATATTTTTGTGATAACGATGTAGTTAAAAAAAACTAAATTTGTAAATTTTAGTACTTTTATAAATGTTTGTAGCTTTATTAAATTGATTTTGTGATTAAACATGGTGTTTTCTTACGTTAGATCACTATTATGTGGAAAGAGGAAAAAGTTTGGGAAGCTAAAAATGACCAGTAATATTTTTGACTAATTGAGTAGGTATACATAATTGTTTCCAGCACAACATGGATTGTGCTCAGTTAATCCATTAGCCTGGACATACAAAACTTTACCATACAAGTCCCTGGCGGCTGGAACACTGACTGGAAGCCTAAGTAATTTGTTAAATCTCACCTCTAAGTCCTATTTTGGCAATGCTTTAGTACCACTCGTCCCGGTTGGCCGATGGCAACATGGTAACTGACCAACACATTGCCCTTATGAGTGTAGTGCTGAGGTCTGTTATCACAGGTTAAATTGCCGTATGTGTGCAATAATCCATATAAAGCTTAATAATACATGGCTTATCTTGTGAGAGTTGAACGATTAAGATGCAGCTTATGAAAAGAACCTGGAAAGAGCCTTGGAACATATCTCAGAAGACTTAAATTTAGACATTGTGCATGAATATGTAGTCAAAATGCGATTGCTGTTCATCGAGGCAAAATCTCGCATCAAAGCTTGTCCCAACAGCAGCCGAAGGTTGTCCCAGGAAGAAATAACAACTCGACACATATCAGCAACATCTTGGCCTTTGTATTCTTAACAAAACTTGTCTGGGCTGTTTTCCCTCAATTTAAAGACTACTCTAAAAAATTTATATTTTTAGTAATAACAAGATATGGTTAAATAAAAGTTATCTATATATATAATTTATACTAAAAAAAGGTTTTTCAAAATAGAAGTCTTTATAAGATATTAAATTTTTTGCTTGTCTCCTTTAAGAAAGTCTTAAAGTATTAAACCATTTTCTATGTTAATTAAATTCAAATAATATAAAAAGATTAAGGTAATAGAACTGATGAATTAGAACATAGGAGAACCACCAAGTAAAGCTAAATGGTACTCTCATTATATCTTTTTAAGGAAAACTGTAAAAATAACTTCCATTAAGAGTTAGGCAGTGGAGCAAGTCGTTAGCTATGGAACCCTTGACCTTAATGACAAGTTCTTTTAGTGTGTGAACTTCAGAAAAAGCCACAGACAATTTGATTTGTTATCTTATTTGTCAGGATGAGCATGCTGTGATTATACTTAAGAGAAAACTTTGTAAAATACATTTTAACTCTTGATTTTTCTGAGTTTACAAGAATTTTTAGAGAGTGACATTTTGTTTAGATTAGTGAGTAATTGTAAGGCTATTGTTTGACACTCTTCTAACCGCAATCATTCTAACAGAACTCATTTATTGAGGTTTCTGTCAAGTAACAGTATTTGAACTATTTTTTCCCCATTTTTACATAGCCCATCATGTTAAAGTTATTTATTTTTACTATTATATATTATACTAGTTGCTCTGCCCGTGCTTCGTTACAAGGTAAGAGTCCAGAAGAGAATAATGTGTTTTTTTAAAATCTACTACAGGGTGGCGTATAAAGAACACACGGATTTGAGTTGAGTGGTGAGAGCAATAAGAGCGTAGTGGAGGGACAGGGCCTGGTTGTTTGTAGGTTAGGGCGTCCAGGTTTATTCGCAATGGTGCAATTGACCGTGGCGCATCGCGTTTTTGCTATAGAACATTTATTCAAAAGTAATGAATCTGTTAATTGTTCAATGGCAGCAGAAGGCCCAATAGAATTGCACCAAAAACCACTGCAAAATTTGAATCTTACCGTTTTGTGTAACTTTGGAAAGTGGGAATTCTTGGGCCTTCCCGTACTTTTTTGGGGACTCGCGGAATATTGAACTTTGTGCAGAAAAGCCGTAGAACAGTTATAATAGATTTAATTACTTTTGAATAAATGTTCTACAGCAAAAACACGATGCGCCGGCCCACTGCACCATTGCTACTAAAACTGGACGCCCTAAACTACTAAACAACCAGGCCCCGTCCCTATACTACGCTCCTATCGCTCACACTACAAAACTCAAATCCATGCGTTTTTTATGCGCCACCCAGTATAAGAAACAGTTACAACACACAAACCAGAGATCATAGAGGCTAAGCTAAATCGTACTTATTGCTTATTAAAGCTGGCGACAGAACCGGGCAGGCCAGAGTGGGATAGGGCATTTTGCTTCGTCTTGTGCGACGGAAAATGCTTGGGCGCTTATGGAGTGCTACACAAAGGACCGGGCAAGGTAGGTGCCGGGTTTTGATAATTTGACGTGCCGTCAAAAAGACGAATAATAGAATCTAGAAGTTAACTACTAATACTGAAGAAATAGAAGACCAACATACAAGCCTTAAGGTTATCAAAAGCAGCTCCTCTGGAGGTATATGGCTGTTCTCTCCAGTTGGTATTTTGTTTTTCTATTTGTCTTGCCATCACACAAGAAAACAAGTTGAGTAAAAAAATAACGGAAAGTAAATAAAGATACGTCTTATAACACTTAAAACATATATTTACGCTTATACTGTTATTCACAAGACGGTAAATATACAAAAGATGGTAAGTGGTGATAGATTTCGATTGGACACTCCAATCATCGTCAGACCCAATAGGCGAATGACAGAAATCTTGAATGGCGTCCCTACTTATACCCTATTGGCTACCGGAAACTCGGCCAATACATTTTTATAAGTTAGTACAACTGGAATCGAAATTTACTTGTTCATTAATCAACTTATTTCAATTTTTACATTTTTCCTTATAAATATACAATTCTTCCCAAGCATTCATCACATATCCCTTCTTACAATTCTTCAAAATACATAGATTATCCTCAACTTTTCCTATTGAGTGTCCATTTTGTAACAGGTGTTGTGCGATATTTGATCTTTCCGGTTTGTTGTTTTTCCATGCAGATGTGTGGTTTTTGAAGCGGTTGACGAAGTTCACAGTCTGTCCAATGTAGAAGCTATCACAATCGTTACAATGAATGGCGTCCCTACTTATACCCTATTGGCTACCGGAAACACCGGCCAATTCAAGATTTTTGTCATTCGCCTATTGGGTCTGATGATGATTGGAGTGTCCAATCGAAATCGATCACCACTTACCATCTTTTGTATATTTACCGTCTTGTGAATAGCAGTATAAGCGTAAATATATGTTTTAAGTGTTATAAGACGTATATCTTTATTTACTTTCCGTAAATTTAATAACACGTACAATGCTGATCAAGAAGTTATTTAAAAAAATAACAAAACTAATTAGCAGAGATTAACAGAGTGGGAGGAGACATTGACTTCGGATACTGTGATTATACTTCTCATTTCACGTTGTAAATAATCTAAAGCCAGTTTTTATCTGAAGGCTAAGCTAATTGTATAGAATCTATGGAAGAGGTATGCACAGCATACAATTTTGTCATCCAAACAACAAATAACACTAACTTACATGTTACATGTTAAATTATTCAGTTAACCAGAAATAACCATTAAGTAACAAAATATGTTGTTAATTGCCATACTGGTATCGTAAGTTCTGAGTTCTGGTCAAGAAGATAACAAAATTACACTGTAGGTGAACACAGGAAGGTATTCATCTGTATAATACAACTGACTGTAACACTTAAAATTTGTGTAGTGGATAATGCCATAAACTAAGGAGTTTTTAAAGAGGGCGGTCATTATTTTTCTATGTACTACTAGATATGTTTATTAAATGGGTTTAAAATAGCTTCATCACAATGAAAAACATTTTCTTCTATTTATTGTAACATGCAAACATGTTATTTAAAATTATAAACAAAATTAACTATCAATTACCGGTAGTTATTTTGTAAATGTTCTACCTTTTAGATTTTATGAGTTTAAAATTTTTATTTTCTGAATTTCAATGTTAATTATACCATTTGCTAGTTATTACAAAGTTTCCGCTTGAAAAACTTTTTTTAATTCCCAAATCTAGCGATATCTTTGAATTCTTATTTTCCAAACTGCAGTATACCAATCTTTGAGCCTAATATCAAATTTTAGAATTTAAGAACTGTTTGTATCAAACTTTTAATTTTCCAAATTTAAAAAAGTAATTAAATCTAGAGAATTTTAAACTTTGAACTGGTTATTTTTTTAAGTGTCGGGGTTTAGTTGCCATACATGTCTAAGGAAATTTACAGAGTTTTTCATTCCTGAGATGACTTTCGAGTGGAATATTAGAATATAAAATAAGACAGAGTGTTGAAATAGAAGTAACTGTGTTATATATGGTTATATTAAAAGATCAGAATAGAAAAGTAAACAGCATTTGATGATTAACATTTTGGTTGCTATGGTAACAACTACATATGTTCATAACATTCTCCCCCACTTAATTGCTGGAGAGCAAAGTCCTTAAGATAGGACGGAACCTTGCGCTGTCTGGAAGGACGAGTTAATTTGTTTTCTTTTTGTTCTGTGGCTTGAGGTCTGTCTAGATTTTCTTCCCTTAGAGTACCGTCTAATTCTGTTGGATTGTTTGAACTTGATTCAGACTCTGGATGGATCTCTTGTGGTGGTGCTTGACAGTCTATAATAGGAATCCTTCTTGGAACAACAGAACTATCTTGTTTGTTTTGTGTTGTAAAAGTAACTTTCTTCTTGGATACAAGAGTCAAAATCAATTGATTAATGTGTCGTTTTAAACTTCGTCTAGAATCCAATTCAACAATGTAATGGTATTGACCTAATTTTCTCTTGACTGTACCAAACTGCCATGTCTTTATTTCCCAGGTGAACTCTTGCCTGAACTCTCTCCCCCACTTTAAGAGAGCGGACGCGAAGAGGAGCAATTGATTTTGATGGAAGTTTTGCCTTTGGGTTAGGGAGAAGTGTGTCAAGTCTAATCCGAATCTTCCTGTTCAAATACAACTCTGCTGGAGTCTTGCCTGATGCCAAAGGTGTTGCTCGATATCTGAACATAATGTTTTGTAGCTTTGTGGTAATTGGGGTTGGATCATCGGCAGCAGCAATTCCAGTTGGGCTAGCATCTGTTGTGAGAATAACTAGTTTTGATGGGTTGAAAGGGATAAGAACTGTA